CCACCTCCTACCCTAGAATTAGAAATGTCTGGACAGAACCTCCTTTATATTTTGAGATTTGGCATCTACTTCACTTAAAATGTGTGACCAACAGTGTGCAAGAGGGACTAACGTTCATTTTGGGATAATTCTTGTGACATTTGGTGAAGCAAGCCAGTGTGGAAATACTGGAGGAGACAGAGTTTTGAACATATGCCACAGAAGGTCGCTGCACTCGGATGACAGTGTGTTTGCAAGGAGCGATTCTCAGAATTTCCTTTGGCGCTGAACCAGCTCAGGAAAAGAGGAAGATTTCATGTTCCCTGCCAGAACGCATCCCTGTAATAATGTGAGAATGAATGGTGTGACCCTGAATTATAAACAGCTCAGACTAGGCTGTGGTCTGCTGCAGAAGCTATCTTGAACTTTGAAAAGAGAAAGATTTTGTATGTGATTATATGTATCTTTCTATGATGTGAGTTAAAATAGTTGTCATTTTATTGTGAATTTAGGGCAACATTTGTCATTGTGAAAGCATCAATCTTTTATTTAATGCACCTTAGGACTAGGATAAAAATGCAGATATACAGGTCTTCCTTAGAAAATGTCTGGGCTTGGTACGTTCACCGCTGAAAGAAACGTGAGTGTAATCAGGTGCAGCATCTTTGATTTTAGGACAGTTTTGTACTTTAAGTAGCGGTGGAGCTTAGCCCAGACACTAGAGGAGATTTAGCTGGAGGAGGAAACATGTGCGTGAAGCACATTCCAGCTGAAGGAACACTGAAGAAAAATGACCTGTTATCTCACAGCAGCTACAGTTATTTGCTGTGCGTGGCAATCCATACCTGGAATTGTGTATGCTGCCCTAGGGAGTATATATCAGAAGGCACTTTAGGCTTGAGCCAATGCATTTAATTCCCATTGTGTCTCAAAGCAGTCCTTCCTCTCTCTCCCAACAAATAATAGGAGTCCAATTCCTGTGTTGCCATAAGATATTCATGGCCACACAGAGAAATAACATCCCAAACTGAAAACCAGAAGGGCTCCCTGATACCTGTCCTGCCTGAATGACTGGGGCATGGTCTTGTATTTCATGACTTAGAAAGTATTAAACTTGTATACAGAGCAAGTGATATTGGATGTATGGCATATAGTGGAACTTGGTAAAAATAGGCCTTTTAAAGGACCAATGTTCACGGAACCGGAGTGGGCAGTGAAGTAAATGCTGAGCCATTTGATGGCAGTGGTAGTTTTTGAGTCAGGTGAAAACCAGCATGAACAGAAGTCATCTGGGCAGTAGGTGTATCGCGCGATATTGAATTCTCAGCCCAATGACGTGAGAAACCTGGTAGAATTCTCTTCTGTGTTGCTGTTTATGGCAGAGTCATGCTACCATGGTAGCAAGCAATAAATAATGATATAAAGGGATTAAAATGAGTGCTGGCGTTGCTGGCATGTGGTTGGAAGGTTTGATTCTTGGTCTGAGTGTCATTTGTGCAAAATGTGGTGGTGCATTAAATTGAAAAAAAAATTATTTTTTTTTAAAGTTGCCCATTAGTGACTTATGGCAATGGTTTCCTGACTGAGGCTGACCCTGCAAGGTTTGTGTCACATAAACTAATCTTTAAATCCTATTTGGATAGACTGTCTCCGGCTACTCCACTCTGTTGCAACAGTGTCTACAAATGCACTTCTCGGAAGACTGAACAGTGGGCCTAGCAAGAGACATCACCGATAAATAGCAATTAGTTCTGACTATTTTTCAGCTAGTGTGGTTGTGAATGGAGAGGAACCTGGCAGGAGAAAAGAGGTACATATCAAATATAACTCAGGAGCATTTAGAAAGTAGCTTTTTCTAAATTGGTTTACCAATGCAAACAAACATTATAGTGTCTGAAAGAAAAGTATTTTTTATTTTGCATAACAGCTTAAGACTGCTCATTGTTTTGCCTGAGGGAAAAAAAAAGAGATTTATGTTTAAAACTGTAGCAGAAGGTAACAGTAAGCAGGACCAGCAAGCTGCGTATCTTTTGCACATACATACATGTCCTGAGTTGAGGAGGAGGAAGAAGAATGTATGTTTCCACCTTCCTCCAAAGCCTGGGGCACAACAGCTATCCAGGGAGAAAACATTTCGGATTACTGCTTTCTTTTATTCAGTACAGCATAGTTATAAAATAATGCCACAGTGGTTCCTGTCCAAGCACCTCCTATGCTGAGGTCTCCTGGAGCCACAACATGATGCAAATGTCACCCAAATTCCTCCTTAGTTCTAGCATGGCCTTCCAGCGGCAGGCAGGAATTGTTGCATCATTCCTTGAAAGAAAGAAAGAATGAAAAAAAGAAAGGAATCACATCTTTCTACCGTTACGCAGCATTAATTCTTTTAGTAAAGTGTTGGAAATAAACACCTAAATAAAAAGGTGCAATCCGTGTTCCTTTGGGAATGCTGTGTGGACTGGCAGGGAGGTAGTATGGCATTATATATGCCTTTTCATGTTTCCTTTATGCATATTAGTTGAGTAATTGTCATTATTACTCCACACAAGTTCTTGTTCTCCTTATCACTGGGACACGTAGTTGGGATATGAATTATCATCGTTGTTACTGTAATATTTGTATATAACACTTTCAGTGTTAGACGACATCTTAAACAAAATAGCAAAAATGCCCCAAAAATGAAATTACAAGGATACTGCTGAGCAGTGTGACTGCTTTTGAACATTTGGGCACAAATAATTCATCTCGATTTGGACCACTGTGTTCATCTTTCATGATTGGTTGACTCAGTTAAAGTGAGGCTAAGTTGTTGCTTTTCAGATGGGTTTGTATTTTACTTCCATTTTCCACTGATGCAAGTACTTGCTGTTTTATGAGACGAAGTGTGCGTAAAATGAAGGGGCTTGTTGACCACACAATTATTGGACTGCTGCTGCTTGGAATACTGTAAAAGCTTCTTCACATCCATGATGCGTTTGGCTTCACAGTGAAGAGAGAAGAGGTTCTGAGGGTGTCAGATTCCGTGGGATCCTGCTTCTCAGTGGAATGTGGTGCTCATAATTAGGAGAATTAGCAGCTGTCTGTCTTGGTTAATATTCCAACACATTACAAGGCTGAGAAAATGTAAAAATTTGCAGAATAAGAGCTGCGGACTGCTTAGGACTTCCCCAGAGACCTGAATTTTTGATTGTGCTCAAAGATTCCTGTGCATCCCGTAGCCTGACCTGCCATCTCCAGTCCCAGCCGAAACTCTTGTGAATGAGCTGGCTGTTGGCAGGTTTCATGTGGCAGAGAATTGGCCGCATCTTTTCCCTGCAGATATGCTGTTCTCCGAAGATGTCTCTTGAACCTCTATGGGCTTGTACCTCACAGCTTTTTTGATAGATTAAAACTCATTCTGTTTTGAGTGAAAGCTGTCATAAAATGTCATAAAATGGAATTTGTCTAGTGCAGGGGCTGAGAGGCTTCCCCAGACAGGTTGGATAATTCTTGCTAGTAAGACCTAGAAATACCTCCTCTTGGCTTTTTTTTCTTAATTGGAATGCTCGTCTTTTTCCCCATGTGTGCTTTAGATATACCATCTATGGAGAGCAGCAATGTGTTTATCATCAACAGTGAAGATACTGACCTGGAAAGGACTTTTATTTAAAAAAAAAAAAAACAAAACCCACATATGCATTAATACAGCTATAAGGAAAACAAAAACCCCACAGCTGCTCCGCCTGCAGGGCTTTTCTGAATAGCAGAATGGATCAAAGGATGTTTTTATTTCCTTGTGAAGAGGAAAAATTCATCACTTTATAAATCACAGCAAAAACAAATCAAATCAATACCAGAAGCTTTTTAATAATAATGCATTTCTTATGGCTGTCCTCAGTATAGGTCTCAGCAGTGGATGCAGCACACAGCTAAAAAGAGTGAACTCAAACCTGTCTCTGACGCTGGTTTTCATTTAGCATTAAGAAATTAACTGGAGTATCAGACTGTAACATGCCAAGCTCTGATGTGTTTAGAATCTGAGAGCTAAATCTGTATTTTATAGCTTGAGTTCATCTGAACTGTGAAGCGGTATTGTAAAATAAATCTTTCCTTTCTTCAGAATTCAAGAACATGTTGGGTAGCTTTACTTTTTTCATCTGTTGTGTGCTGTGGTTGAGTCGTGAATGCACTTTGTCCAGTTGTTAGCAACGCATCCTGAATGTCTTCTGTAGACCATTGCGATTTGAACACCTTTTTTGGTTGATGAGTAAAGAAGCATCTCTCTCTCACCTTCTGTGGAATGTGTTAGCTTCTGTCCTGATGAATGTTACTGTAGGATGCAGTCATTTATTTTAACTGTGTTGAGAGACTTTCATAGTCATTATACGATCTTGTTACAAGCCAGCAAATTCGTACTGTATATGAAAGGATGAAAGTTAGCACTGAGATCACTAAATAACACTTACTTTCAATAGAGCATTAAAAAATTCTGGCCCATGAATTTTGTGATTAGAAGTAGATCATCTATTAACAAGTCAGTGCGTGGCTAGGGAGTAGATCCAAGTGCTTCCTAAATTGGAGAAGTGTTGGCTGGATATAACAGTGAGCAGCAAGCAGGGTATAAAAAGCTGTGAGTGGTAGAGAAAGGGATTAAGAAAAAGAGAAAGTTCTGTATTACCTCAGAAATAACTGAGTCGTGCAGTTGCTCGGTGTGGCCGTGAAGTTACTAGCAAGGGAAAAAACACATCACGGTATTTTATTATCCCTTCTTTAGGTGTTGGGCCTCCAAGACTAAAGCCAAATACATACGTGTATGGGTATTTCTCTGTTTTCAGTTTTCCTTGATAACATTTCATGTCTAGACAAAGTGCACCAGAGAAAGCTATTTCTTAATTATTTAGTAGTAATTAATAATGTGAATTAATGTTGTGCTGCCACTACATTGACCCTTCCTTATACATACACTGCATTGTTCAGATTTCCAAGGATACTACCACAATGTTTTTACTTAAAGTGTTACATTTTCTTTTCTTTTTTTTCAGGTTGACTTTGAACAACTCCAGGAAAACTTGTGTCAGATGGAAAGACGGTGTAAAGCATCATGGGATCACCTTAAGGCTATAGCAAAGCATGAAATGAAGCCAACTCTAAAGCAAAAAATGTCCGAATTCCTTAAAGACTGTGCAGAAAGAATCATAATCCTGAAGATTGTTCATAGAAGAATAATTAACAGGTACAGAATTAGATTGGTGACAGCAATATCTTGATAATAAATGACTTGCTAAAATTATAAATTATGACATCATATATATGTTTTTTATAAGTGTTTAATCCACATTCCAGCAAGTAATGTTACCAGGATGTATGTGGTGCATACATTGTTATAGACACCACTTAAGAAAGGTCCCGAGTCCAGAAACTTTCTCTATTTCTGATGAAAAGAAGCAATGATCCAGGCAGTCATTTATTCCCAAGGTGCAATAAATGGGTCTTTTAACACCTAGTCCCCAAAAGCTAACAGCTTTATGGTTAAGTTGCTGCATTTTCTGTCCTTCCCTGAATGCTGTTGAGCAGGGGTTGGCTTACTGTCTGATAAACAAGAACAGGCTGTAGAAAAAACAATGAAGTTCTGATGATAAATTTCTCATATACAGAAGTTGAAATGAGTCTGGTACAATGAATTCTTCTTATAAGCAGCACCACTCCTATTTGCAAGATCTACGACTTTGTGTTTTATGCTTACACAGCGGAAGGCAGAATAAAGATTCCTCTCCTTAGGACTTGCCGTTGGATTTAGTTTCATCCAATGGAGTTCACAGTAACTGCAGTGCTCTGAAATACACATAATCACGATAATTCCACAATACACCTGAGCTTCTTTTTTTTTTTTTTTCACAATTGTAGCTGTATGAGTTTAAGTAATTTGAGTAATTTATCTGTTTTCATGCTCTTTATTAGTGAAATTCTGAGACATTTTCCAACTTCTGAAGAATTTCCTAACTGGTGTGGTCAAAACTAGGATCTGGATTCCAAATGATCCCAAATTTGTGGATATACACTTGAGAAGTTGATTCAGCTCTTCTTTTGTTTTCATGATGACTTGTTTTTCATGCCACAGGTCTACAGAAATCCCAGTTGCAGTAGTAGGGAAGTGAATTCACTAGTTTCCTTTTTGTATTTTCCTTATGCATTGGACAAATAAGAAAAATATTAACTTTTCCTATTATGCCCTGCAACTGCTACTATAGACATCTCAAAAAAAAACGTATTCATGAATTTGCATTTTTCTAGGATTGGGAAGACTTTTTATCATCAGGGATGTAGATGCCATTAAAAGGAAGTCCCATACATTTTTAAACATTCAGTGTGCTATTGTAAATCATGCAATACAGAAGCAATAGTAAAAGTTACATATAGTGTGAAAACTCTGAATAACCGCAGAAGCAGTAAAACTGTGAATTGAGAGTATCCCAAACTAAAGTACTTGGTAGATAATATAATTTTATGGTCAGTTTTGTGAACCAGAAATTCTTTCCTGCTTGTGTTTTCTAGCCTATAAATCTGCATTCTTCTTGTCTAGACTTTCCCCAACATCGTAACATCCTCTTTGAAGTTGCTTAATACAAATAAATAAGATTGAAACTTAATAAATATTTTTCCTATAACTGAAATGAAATTGGTCATTCACATACCAAATTAGTCATATAAAGTAGATGGAGTTCCATAAACACCTTATCTCCTGCATCAGCCTGGGAAAGTGGACTGGGATGAAGTTATCATAGACTAGACTTTCATGGTTTCAATTATAAAACATACCAATGTTATGCAAAGCATCCATGAAAATTCTGTAGCACAAAAGAAATGATGGGAGCTAATAAAGTAATAAATGGATTCACTGAAATGTGTTTTTTTTTTCCTAGAAACCATCAAGGAAGATTTTTTCCCTTTGCATTTATGAACTCATTGTTTTCCAGGTTTCACTCATTTTTGTTATTTATGGGCCATCCTCCCTATGCAATACGTGAAGTCAACATCAATAAGTTCTGCAAAATTATTAGCGAATTTGCTCTGGAATACCGCACCACCAGGGAACGAGTTTTGCAGCAAAAACAGAAACGAGCTAACCACAGGGAAAGAAACAAGACCAGGGGGAAAATGATAACAGATGTAAGTGGCAAAATGTGTCTCCCACAGCATGGATTTTTAAAACTTTCTTTCATTGAATGTCGTCTATGAAGTGTTGTTACTCTTTTGTTTTTATTCTTAAGGGGGTCTTCTACTGTACGTAACTAACTCTGTTCTCTTGGAAGACAAAACTCGCAGGTCCTTGAATATAAAAAAAAGAAAGAAAACTAGAAAATTAGGTTCCTAATTGAGGACATGATTTAAATGATGAACCATTGTAACCATTTAAGTGGTTACAACCAAATTTTAATATTTTTTTTTCTCCATCTTTGAATATTCTAATATGCAGCCTTTAATCTTAGTAGTTTATCTATTTTTATGTGTGTATACATGCATGCACGCATACAGCAAACCCAGGACAGCATAGAACAGCAATTTTATGGGAACAGACTACTTTGGGGTTCTGAAAAAAATGGAAAATTATGTTCACAGTAGATGTTACCCTGCAAACTTTTTGACTGTACACTTGCATACTGATAAAATAAATGAAAATAAGATTAATTTTCTCACCTTAGTAAGCTTTAAAATCCCCTTGATTTTTTTTTCTTTTTTTTTTCTTTTTTAAGTTGATGTAGTTTGACTCAATCCAAATAAAGTTTTAAGAAGTGCCAGTACTTAATAAAAGTTTCCAGCTGTCTCAAAATCCAAATCTGGAGTCTCGATTAGATGTGAGTAGGTCATTGCATATGAAGCTACCCCTGCCTTTGGCATAAAAAGCCCTAAGCTTTTCACAGTTTTATGACTCAAGCAACGTAGATCAAAATATATATATATATATATATGTATTGAGAGTGGTATAAATTTTAAGTCATTGAATCACAATCATTTGTAGATCTTTCCTGGCAATATCCTCTTTAAATTTGGAAATCTGCCCCATCTAGAGAAAATGTTTAACCTGTATTATTATCACAAAAGATTTTCCCTTTGATCTAGCCTCAGGTTAAGGAAGAGGCTCTGATTTTATGCAAAGGGTATAATATAGTCATATAAATTTTCAAAACTACCACTGGGGAACTGAGGTCACTTTCTTCAGTTGCATCTCTGCTTTCCTGCTGTATTCTAGAGGAGCTAAAAGATAGCATTAACCAAAGAGATTAGTAAATTAAAATGTTCATTTCCTCAGGTAGCTTAAGTACTGTTTACTAGTTTAAACAATACTGAGATGTGAAGGAGTTACTGTTTTTCCTCCTGTATGATGTAGTGTTTCTGTAATTATCTGTCCAAGAAGAACTGGCTGCGGCAGGACAGAAAGCTTCTCTACGTCCTGTTCCTGCGGGAAACACAAGGGGAAAAAGAAATCTGATCTGGGAAGCGGAGAGAAGGGACCCCTTTCAGACCAGAAAGCGGCTCAGGGTTGACAGCTAGTCAGGGAGGAGCAGAGCCAGGGACGATGGCCGTTTTCCGAAAATGTAAGAAAGGAGGCAGCTAGGCCTTTCCCAAAATGTATTATTGGAAGATGTCTTGTTCAGCTCAAGATAATGTTGAGATTTGACAAGAATTAAATGCCATCAGACAGCTAGTGTTCCACCTAAAAATACCTTGCAGGTCCCCAGAAAGGGAGCATTTTTTGCCTATCGCTAATTTACAATTATATAACGGTCCTGTTAGCTTAAAAACAGAAAGCCTGCTGGAGTGAAAAAAAAAAAAATAACATTCTTTGAAATTCCCCTTATAGAGATGTTCTTTAAGGGAGTTATTCATGTGGCCATATGGTTATTTCAGGATTTACTAAATCTTTTTAACCGTAGCCCAGTGATATGGCCTCGTTTACCATTGCAGTAAATTTGATTGCAGTACATGGTAAAACAGAATTAAAGTTGCACCAGACTATTTGTCACAGCTTGCTTTGACAACTTCAAAGTCAGATCTACCTCAAAACAAGTTTCCAAATCAGCGGGATGGAAGATATTTATGTGTGAAGAATGATGAAAAAGGGGAGTTTTATTGTAGTCTTATGTTGGCTGTGGTTCATATCTGGTCTTGATTTTCTTAGTGTTTTATATTTGAAGGCATTGGAAAGGGAAGATATATCAGTAATGCATTGACAGTATGTTCAGCTAGTTACAGAACAGTGATAGAAGAAAGTTTAAATCTTGGCATTGGAAAGAAACTCTTTGTAGAAAGTCATTCTAATAAGAAGTTGTCATGTGGAATTTTAATTTCTGCTCTTGATGACCTGGAGGGATTGTGTGGTTTTTTTTATATTTACCTCCCTGTCCTCTTGGAAGTTTCCTCAGGATCTCATTTTTATCACCTTACAGTACATTGCTTTTAGGCAGAAGAAGAAGGATTTTAGCAAAAATGGGAAAGGAGTAAGCCAGAACTGTCCCAGTTCGTAACGAGAAGGCACGTATCTCTTAAACCTTGGTCCCCCCTGCAGTCTTGGAAGGCAGAGGGGTGCTGGCTCTTCGTATGGAGAGAGTCTGCTGGCTCTTTGCATGGAGAACTTGCATCAGCTTCAGCAACTGCTCACATGGAGGAGGGCTGAGAAACACGATGGGGAATATTTGCAGTCTTTCCTTCAGCCTTTTACCACAGAGATCTTTATATGTTCTTTAGTAGCTGAAGTGGACTGGGCACTGTCAGTTTAAATCTTGGTGAATGTTGTCTACAAGAGAAAGATGGAGGAGGAGGGGGTAAGGGGAAAAAATGGAAAACAGGGAGTTGCCACAGTTTCACGGGGAAAATTGCCTAATCTCTGTAACCTTATATCTGGCTTTTGCCAATGATAGCAGTCGCTCATCTCAGTCACAGTGAAAATAACAAGCAAGCAAAATAGGGAATAAATGCAATTATAGATATGTCTGAGCTTTTTGATGATTTTTAATAATAGTAGGTAATATAAGCATCTGTCTCCCAGATTTATGAAGTTCTGCTTTTTATGATACTTAAGAGATTCAATTCCAAAATTGCTATGTAATAGAAATAATATTTTGAAACGGCAAATCCACCACATAGAAATGCTAGCCTAAAGGAAAAACGGGAGGGAGGGAAGGAGGGAGATCTCCTCAGATTGTCTCGCAACATCCAGTATTTGATGACAGAAGAATCAAGCAGCCTTTTTTCCTAAAAACTAACACCTTGTTAAGAGATATTCAGTATAGCAATACTCTCCCAGTGCGTTTTGGTAATATTACATCTTAAAAATTTCCTAATTTATTAACACTCCCGAGTGTATTTGTAATGATGAAAAGAAGAAGGAAAGAAAAGGCAGAATGCAGACACCTGGGTGAGAGCAGATTTCCTTCCTGAAACAAAAGTTTGATTTATTTACTTTGCTTTGACTCCTTTTTGTCAGTATTTGCTGGGGGCAAGTGACTCTCCAGACATGGAAACATGGTGGGGATGGTGAACTGCTCCTCCTGTGCACCAGAGTTGCTTTGGGCGTCTAAGGACAATGGTTCTAGGTGTGAGCCCCCTCCACCCAGAGCAGGAGGAAGGGAAATGGTAACTGGAGATGAGCAAAGTCAGAGGGTACATTGCTCATTGCCCTTAATATAAGTCCACCACAAATCACTTTTAGCTAGATTAAATTGGCAGGAGGGCCAGCAGCTGGGACTTTCCCTGTAAAAATCTAGCCTGATATAAATTAATAACATAATACGCTTTTGTTTGGAGCACACTCTTTGTAATGTATGTATTCTGCTCTTCACCTTTCCTTCAGTGCCTTTTGCCTGTTGTTTAGCTTAATTTGCTTTCTTCCCGCCTTTTATTTATGAGATAGATGTACATATGCATTAGAATACAAGTATGTTCTTGCTTCCCCTTCTCCTTTCTGTTTCTTATTCATGCCAAAAAGTGAACAGTGGCCTTCAGAAGAATCGCGACTCCCTACCCCTGGGGGATGGAAAAAAGCAAATGGATCCTTTCATAATGTAAAGGGAACATACCTGCTGAGGTCCCTCTGCAAAACATCTGCCTGTGTTTCTGTCAGTGCCACTGCGTCCAAAGAAAAATAAGCATCTCACTCTTCGAATAAAACATACCCTTAAAAAGTAATGTTAATGTGCTGCTCAGCACTCTCACAGCTAATCTTCTTATGGAGACTGTGCTGAAACTAAACTGAGGGCCAAAGTAAATCAGGCTTTCATTTTTAATGATGAATGTTTCTGGAACAGAATGTATCAATCCCAGACAGAAATCATAGCTGAGATGGAGATAAGGTCAAAAATATGTATTAGTAACACTAGGGAGGGGAATAGAATTGGTGGAATGCTTCTTCTAAAAAACAAAACAAACCCCACAAATAAAAGATGCATTGAATTTCTAGGCTATGTTTGCACTTTATAAGCAATCAAACTGAAAATTATGGAAAGAAAGAGCCCTGGTACTTGAGAAACTGTTTTACTTTGGGAACCTTCCATGTGGGGCATTTCTACAACATAATGAAGAATTCCCCAGGCATTTGGGAACACAGCTCTAAATATTTTGCTAATTCTCTGTAAATCCCCAAATTTAAGAACACTCCATACACCATATTTTGATACACCCGTTGCATTTAATGTAGTGTAACTGTCAAAATAGTGTTACATGCCTGCTGTCACAGAGGGTGAAAGCCCTGAATCACAAAGGATAATTGCATCTCTTTAATTTCCAGGATCTGGTACCAGGAAGCTACTGAAGAACTTTAAGCATTTATTCAAAGGCTACTCAGCATTTGATTTTAGTGGTCTGTTAAATTGGAACTTGAAGTTGAAAAGCCCCAGCTTAAAAAAGGAATTAAAACAAGCACTTAAGTGTAGAGGAAAGGAATTGCCAAGAAGCTGACCTCTGCTCTGGGAGAAAGAGCAGCCAGGACCTCCTTGTGCTGAGCAGAGCTGGAAAAAGGAGAGGGAGTCCTTCCTAGTGCTCTCGATTTCCACAGGGCAAAAAGTGGGCAAGCAACTGCATGACTCAAGGGAGAGAAATAGGATGGGTTAGGGGTACCTTCAGTTTATAATTTCTCTAAGAAAAATCGGGAAATTCTGATATACACTACTGACAGTGACAGTCTGTTCTGTGTACAATTAACTAAAAAAAAAAGCAAGTTGATTGTCTAAGGAATTAATTCCTTTTATGCTTTGTATTTTTATGTCCTCCTATAATTGCATAAACAGTACCATGGTTACCTCTTACTCTGTTGTGGTTTGACCATACTGTCCTTCCTAAATCTTGCTGTTTGTCCTTCTCCACCCTGTCCTTTGTTTCTGGTGGCAGACCGATGAAGAAGAGGATGCTGAGGTATGGTTCTCTGAAAGAGCATGTCATTCCCATGTCCCCCGTGTGCTGTGACATCTAATTTCTAACTCAGCGTGGACTGCTCACCTCCATCTGCTCAACTGGAACTATGAACCATGACATTTTTCTCATAGCTTTTTCGTGCAATCATAAGAACGCATTTTTACAGTCAGCTTTAACCATATACATACCTGCTGTCTCAAATAAGGATATCCTGATCTGAGGCCTTAAAAATTTGAAGTTTCCTCATTTCTTTTCCTTAATGTCTGTTTACTAAACTGCAAAGTATCCTCACTACCCAAAACATCAATGATGTGAATGTTATGGGGATCATCAGTTACCTTAGGCTAGGGATTACCATGATAATTTCATAGTCATTATTAAGCTGTGTAAGTCTAAATGGTGTTATTTTGTAGTGTTCAAAAGCATCAGGATATAGGGATGCAAAGCAAATTGTAATGGTTCTCCTTGCTGTATGAACTGCAAATAAGGTACTTCAGTCACCCTAAAGGTGAGCCATGGAGTAGTTCATGTATTTATCATAAAGTGCTCCTGAAGGTGATGTTGAAAATAAATAAAGGAGTGACTAAATCATTTAAGAACTATAATGCACTAGCTATATTCATAATAAAACAATTTATTGGTTTGAGGAACATGTATTGTGCAATGCATTTTTTCTTCAGCATTAGTGCTTTCTTCAATTTGCTGAACATAAACAATGTGGCTTAATGCTCATTGTTTCATAATGGCAGTCATTTGCTCAAGAGGCTGGGGTTTGGCCATTTATCTACAGCAGTGTCTGAAAACTAAGGAAGTGAAACAAAACTTCTGGCTATAGAGCTCCTCCCTCAGTGATGATTTGTGCTGTATAGCTTGGGGCACAGAAAGAAAATTACGCTAATTAGCCTGTTCGTGCCAACATTTAACTAACCGGTGTGAATAGTAACTAACAGTTATGTGAAAACTTGATCCTTTGTTTTTTTCTGAGATGATTGGCTTTACAACCCATTGTATTTAAGAGAGTGTTCTTAATGCAAAAATGGCATGCACTTTCATAGAAGTTTCTTTCTAATGTTTTTCTGTCTTTTAACTTCACATGTGATACTCTAGCATTTGTACACGTTCCACATCAAAATGTTGCAAGCTCATATTTAAGAAGAAAAAAACTTCTCACCATCAAAAATAAGTCTCTCTATGGTATATTTAGCTCAGTGCCTTGTAGGGATGATTGTTTTGCTACTTAGTTGAACTTGCTGTCCTACCCCGAAAAGTCATTATGTTAAAATAGAATCATCCTGTCATTGATTTACAAATTAAATATTTTCAATTTGCATTCTTGACAATCACAGGGACTTGATCAAAGCTCTGACAGTAGGGCCCAGTCTTTTCTTCCAATTTACTGTTCTCTGACAGAAAGGCTCTGCAGGTTTGCATCCCTTTAACTGACTGGCTCGATATCATCAAGTGAATAATTGATGTTGTTTATTATGAAGAGGGAGAAGAGAATGCAGCACAACTTACTTCATCTGTGCTTAATTGGTAGGAATAAGATCAAAAGAAAAGAGAAAACACCTTTCGGTTTCTGATGCTGGACTGATATGACTGAAAATACCGAGGGATATTATTATCTGTTGATGCCTGTTTGCTGTTGACAGAGCCTGTCTTTTTTGCAGCCGGGGCTGTATTTTAAATGTGCTTTAGCCTTTCTGTAGATAAGAGCAGTGGAGCGAATACCAACATAGGCAGAGGCTGGGAAGGGAGAGCAGCCCAGCCATGCATTTTCTCCTTAGAAATTATCCGTTTCTGCTGGTTTCATCCATTTCTAGATGGCTGTTTTCCGCAACCAGTGGAGCTGCTGCATCCTCGTGCTGTGCGAGCCCAGCTAATGTAGCCGCTGTTGTTAACGTAGTCGTGGTGACAGGGAAATCACACGGGGGGGGGGGCCGGGACAGGCAAGCAGAGGGCAGATTCCTAAATCTCTTGTAAGGTTTTGTTTGTTCTTCTAACTGCTGACTGCAATTTTTGTGTTTTGGCCATGAAATAATTTGGCTGGGTGTTCTGCGACCGGGGATTTTTTTAGCGTTACTGGTAATGTATTTTAAGGTTACTTGTAGGTATTTATGTTTTACACAGGTTTGAAGTTTTCTGTGCAGCAATGCAGAGAGGCAAGAGGGAAGGGTCTCTTTTCCTAGACTGCTCTCCCAGTTTTGCCTTGTTGCTGAAAGCTGATGGTAAAGGAAAAAAACAGTTTCTTATTTGTGTCGGGTCTTGTGCTGTCTCCCTGTTTCATACCTGACCCCAGATTGGGCCCAGCCTGGGTCAAAGGTTTCAAAGCAAGCTTTCTACCTTATACTCTCAGACCAGACAGAAGGTCAAAATTATAAGGCTTTAGCTAATGCATCTGGTTTTCCTCTGATTTTGTCAGCTGCTGTCACCCCGTTTCCAGTTTATTTCTGCTCAGGATGCATGCTTTGGGAGAGGAGCAACTGTTGCCTGGCTCTTCTGGGAATATCTGCCCTCTGAACCAGCCTGAGAGGACACTTCTCTCCTTGCAATTCCCAGTCTAGATGCTGGCCTATTCTCTGTGCTGTTTGCCATTAAAACAACAAAACCTTTTTCCTTCCGCAGTCCGGCAAGTTCTCCAGCAGCTCACCCCCCTGCCAGAGCCAGCCCCAGGGGCTGCAGTACGCCGAGGACGCTGCAGAGCACGAGAACATGAAGGCCGTGCTGAAGACCTCCTCCGTTGGTGGGGAAAGCACCACGGCGCTCGGGGTCCGCACTCGAAGCCGGGCCAGCCGAGGTAAGTGCCAGCAGTTTCCTTTTGGCCACGTTTCTTGTGGTGCAGTAGCCACACATTGGCCCAGATGCAGGTCGTGGCCCCCTTGCACAGTGGTTGCAGCAGAAAGGGTTGAAGGAGAAGACCCCAGTGGTGTTTCCATAATGGAGGTGGTGTTTTGGGTCACAGGGATGTAGGAGAATTTGCCTGAAGTTTTAACACGTGGATCACAGCCAAAGTAGTGCCTGGGGGCATTAGGAGTACAAGCCTGCAGAAACTGGCATCTCTTTCCCCACCTCCATGAACGTGGCTGCCCACTAAAACCCCAAATTTTATTCCTGTTCTCATCGTGAAGGCAAAACAGGGGATCCATGATGTGGTTTTCTTTTTATTTTCAAGAGAAACAAGTAGAAAGTAGCAATTCAAATTGAAGTGAAAGGGCCTTGCAGCATTGTAGGAATGGCTGGGGAGAAGAAAAAGGGTAGGAAAAAGATGGCATATCTCCTAACCACCTCCCTGCTAAACTGCAAAGGCAGTGAATTAAGTGGAGCCTAGAAGCAAAGAAAGCTGCTGTGGACAGCCCCACATCTCCTTGCTGTCCTGACACGTACCTCTTTCTCTGAGGTCCACGTCACTCTGCTGTTTCCAAATGTCAGCATGGGTGATTTCTGAAAGCTGACAGGGAGGAAATGAAAACCTGACCCAATCTGCTGATCCCAACACCTGATACTCTGACAGAAGAGCTCCCTGGTACAACCATTCTTGGCAATGAGATAGCCTTGTTTTTTGTCCAAGACGTGATTCACTGGTACACCTCTTCATTTAAGAAGCCACTAAACCACTTCCGTTATGCTAAATCATTTCACAGACACTGGTTTCACCAGTTTATTTTCTTTCTGTTCCCCGCCCCACCTCCCATACACGTGATACCTGAAAGATGGCTTTGGAGTCAAGGTGATGCACCAAAATTCAAGTCTTCGTTTTTCTGTTCTGGTATTTATTGTTCCTCATCTCTGGATATCTTACACTTTCTTGATTCTTTTTTGGTACCACTGAGAGCACATCCAGTGCATCCACCACTAAGTCTGTGTGTGTAGTTTATTAAGGCTTTAAAGCATGATCCTGTCTAATTTGGAGCTTTCATAGTTCCAATTTAAGCAGCAAGTCAACTAGCTAAAGTACAAAGATGAAATAATTCAAGCTGCACTGCAAGAAGCTGGATAGCTGAAGTAATCTATTGAATGCTAACAAGCAGCGCGTCCTGATAATGGGAGTCAGCTTGTGTTGCCCTGAAGAACAGCAGAGGCGGAGGATGGGTGAGCCAGACAGAAGCTTGTCAGGAGCACTATTGTAATACTCTTAATGAGAGCCAGGAGAGAAGCAGCAGAGCAAAGTGCTAATCAAAGCTGCTGTTTATTCATGTCGGGGACGTGATACGGAGTGGCCTCGCCAGTGAATTTTTAGCTGCTTGCAATTCTACCACACCCACTCTTTTGCAAAGCTCACTGTCACTGTTCTCACTGCAGGCTGGCCTTCGAATTTTTCAAAAGAAAAAAGCACACAGAACAGTAATCTGTAGTAGAGGAACCCAAAGCTGTGTCTGACACAGCTCTGTGGAGTAAGGATTGCCAGAGCCTTGGGTTCCGAGCCATGGCTCACTTGTTTGTTTGTGGTTTTAACCGAAATTGCTTATTTAGCTTTTCAGCTTGCCAGCGACTCTTGCTTTTCTGCTCATAACAGAGCACACAGAGTTGTGCCGGGACACATACAGCTTTATGATGAGAAGGTGAATTCTTCATAGTGAAAAGGACAAGTAGACGTGTCAAACCACATTTTTTGCCCTTTTTGTGTCGTCTTTGCGCTAGGCTGTGATACAGATGCTCAGAAATGGATTCATTCTCTCTTTTGGTACAAAGGACCTGTCTTGCTGATTTGCATCAATTTCTAACATGCCATGTCTTCTAGTCTCTGTGTAATAGGAGCAGAGAGAAACATGGAGACACAACACTCCACCAATCCTTGGCTTATAGACAGCCTAGCAGACATTTGCCAGTCGTATGGTCAAGGATAAGACTCTGAGGCTGAAGGGAATAGAAAGTTATAATTGCATTTGAGCTCTTGGGTCTCTGCTGATACAGCAGAGAATCTAGGGTATTATTTAGAAATATTCTCCATTAGGCAGAGTCTTCTGCTTTGGCCAATTTGAAGTAGCAATGACTGAGTTGTCTGCTATAATTCCCCCCCCAAAAAAAACCCAACTGCAAAACCAAAGTGATGCAAGAGACTTCTGTCTTCTTTTCCCTCAATTCATTTGCTGGACTTTTCCAGGCCGTATCAGTTCATGGAATGCTGGCAACGACGATTCACCTAATGCAACAGATGATGCAGCAGATGAGATCATGGATCGCATTGTAAAGTCCGCCACCCAAGTGCCAAGCCAGCGAGCGGTGCCTAGAGAGAGGAAGCGGTCACGAGCAAATAGGAAGTCATGTGAGTATATGGCTATTGCATTTCTCAAAATAAGCAAAGGTACAAATGTTTATGTATATTGGTGTAGGAACCGGGCCTTTAGCACGCAGACACGCATTGGTAGTTCATAGTAGCTCAAGTGTATACTTAATGATTGCTATATTATCTATCTTTTATATATATATATCTTACTGTAATTTAAACGATGTATGCAGTAGATGAGTATATTGGTGTAGGAACCGGGCCTTTAGTACACAGACATGCATTGGTAGTTCATAGTAGCTCAAGTATATACTTAATGATTGCTGTATTATCTATCTTATATATATATATCTTATTGTCATTTAAACGATGTATGCAGTAGATGATTCTGTCTTCTACAGAAGTTGAAATGTCCTTAGCAATAAGAGAAGAAGGTTTTATGGTGCTTTAGAGCTTCTCTGATGACAGTGCTTATTCATAACTAGAGAATTCAGATCAAGACCTCAGATGGAGACTGTGAAGGTACTGGTGTGAAGATAAATAGTTGTACCTGTAGCTGAATTTATTCATAAAGCAAAAAGTAGTTTGAGAGAATGCACCTCTTAACGTCTGTCGCTCTTGTGCATCCTTCCACAGCCCTGAAAACAAAGTATCTACTGCCGCTTGGCTGCAAATTGGTTATAGAGCAGCTTAACTTCCACTGGGAAGAAAAGGTAGCACATTTATAAGGTGGTCTTTCAACGGTGTAGTGTGCTCAACCACAGTTTGAGTAGTTTGATTTTGTGCTTTGTTAAATACAATGTTAAAGAGGTGATGAGCTTCCTAGTTATTTTTTTCCTTATGTGCAGAGACTACTGCAGTTACTGTGAGAAGGGTATGTGCCCAAAGAACCTAAGTTTTTAGTGTTTAATGTTATTCACCATATGTGGCTTTTTGACTACCTTTCCATCCATCTTTTTAGCTTTTCTGGGAAGTTAGGACAAAGAGGAGACAACAACAGTGAGTGAAAAATGACACAGATTCTCGTTTTTTGTGGAATTGTTCTAACATAGTGGGTGATCAAAAACATTTGGTCTAAGCAGTGATTGCTATAAACTAGCATGTGCTGAAAGCATATTCACTTTCCCCAACATGCTAAGAAAGGGACTTCTGCATGTGGCAAGACCAAAAGCAAAGTGGACACTGGTTACATGAGCCAGACTCTAAGCAAAGAAAATGAGCTGACACTGGATTGTCTGTCTTACTTTCCGTCATACGCTGTGCCGTACCTCTTTGTGGCATCACCTTCTGCTGCTACCCACTTCCCCACATGGTTCTGGTCTTCTGCGCGTGCTGACTGCCCTAGTTGGCTTGTGCATAGCAAATAAACCTCCTGTATGTTTGCCTATTTCCATGGTTTATCCTACACTAAATTATTTCCTTTGTTAGCAACACTATCTTCATGCACACACACGAAAAAGTCTTATTTCTGCTTTTTACCAGGTACCTTTTTCCCAAGGAAGCACTTGCTGCAGAAAACAAAACAAAACAGAACAGGATAATGATAATAAAAATACTATATATTTTTCCTTGGAGCTGGTTTTTATATTCACTAAAATCATTAACAAGGATTAAACATTCATTAAATGTTTAGGCTGGGACTGATTTCCATTGTAATTAATCATGGTAGAATCTAGCTCTTTTGCTTGTTTGTTCTTCAAGATCTGAATGAGGCTCTTAAGTGGATTAAAGGGCAGTTTCAAAACAAACATGAAGTTCAGTAGTTTAGCATCACTTTCAGCTGACATGCTGAAAGAACGTGTGAAAAGAGAATATCTTAACTGAACTGTTTCACTTTGATTGATAGTTAATATACCTGGATGCTGAATAAATGAAGTAGTTTAGCTCCAAAATACACTCAACTGGACTGATAATATGGCACCTTCAGGAAATGGACAGAGACTAGCCCTTGTCAATGCATGATGATCTTCCTGGTAGAAATGTAACACAGGTCCTCCATAAACATAGTAGAAAGTAGATTTTTAGGCATACTTCAATGATTTAGATTAGCAGGCGCTATGACATTAATTATCTACAGAGCAAAGAGACCCTATAATCTGACGGGTTTGATTCACCTCCTTCAATCTTCAGGCTCCCAAACGCATTCTTTGGCTTTTGCCATGAGCTTGGTACTCAATCTATTCATGGACATCAAAGTGAAACTCAGTTGAAAGGAATGATTTTCACTGTGCATCGTCTTGCATATGTCTCATTGCTTTCAGTGCAGAACTGGAAATCTTGACAGGCTTACTTAGTATTCAGCAAAGATTTTAGTGAACCTGAGCTGATGTACGTGTTTTTAGCAAAGTCAGAAATCCAAAAGATTTATATGCAGTTGCACTGTAAAATTTCCTGTGGTTCAGGTAGAAGGTTCTCGTGGGCAAGGGATTTTTTTGCCATAAAAAAGACAGAAAAATGTGAAGTAAAAAGCAAATGATACTCAAGTCATTTATAACTAGGGAAAACAGAAACAGGAATATGGAAAAGGTTAAGTTAAATTCAAGAAATAGTTGTAATGGGAAAATGAGACATTTTGACATGTTCATTTGCACCGTTTTAGCTTTTGTAATTGTTGAGCAGTGTGACTGTATCTGGTATGCAGACAGTTTAGTTAGATCTTAATGACGCAGAAGAGTTTCAACTCTCGGAGCGATCCGCAGAACCATAAATTGGGAGGAAGAATCAGGCAGCAAGTCATCCAACAAAAGACAGATGGAAACATCTGCATCTGTTGGTTGAAGATGCAAATGGTCACTGATAAATCCAGATATGACTGAAGTCGACTGAGACCTAGTGGGAAGGAATTTGTTCGGTGGGAGCTGAAATGGACTGCAGAAAGCTAAGGTACATGGTAAGTGCATAACAACTGAGTTCCTGTGGTGATCTGCAGAGAGAGAACTTAATTCTGTGCTAGACCTTTACACAGTGGAATTACAGTAACCAACTGGAAGTCATTGCCTCATGATGGGTGTTCAGAGACCTGCCTACCAGACATACTGGTGTGGTGTTATATAAGAGAAAACAACATTGCGGTTGTATTTATTCATCAGAAGCCTCATCAGAAAGTCACAGGGTTGAATGAGCCACAGAAACGTTCTGTCACCCTTTGAGGTGGTCATTCAAAGATAGCTTCAAGGCAAGTTGCCATGGGAGTCTTCTGCTGGGTTTTTTCTCTCTGATGTCCATATTCTGTGCGTAAACAACAGACCTCAGCCTCTAGAGATGTCAGTTCAGCATATTTTAAAAGATAAAATACAAATCAGGTTGAAAATATACTGTTTCTGTTCTTGAAAGCTTTCTATGAGAAAGGTTTTTATAACATTATGGGGAGCTGTTCAACCTAGCAAAGAAATAAAAAGTAATATACTTAGGATTGTCTGGTTCTCCCATAAGATTAGGGTGACCTCAAACGATGCCATAACAAATAAGGAGTGCAAAGGAAAATTGGGATAAGGAAGTTGTAAGAGTCACTCTATTTGATAGTCCAAATTCCAATGAATACAATTGCTGAACTTCAGCAGCTTATCGAACAGTATTACAGGCATTGCAGCAGTGGATTAGGGGAAATAAAAATGAAACTCCGTGTATGAGATACCACTGAGATTTCAAAAAACAGTCAAGAAAGGAGGTTATTTAATACAGAGAGCTGAATTAAAAAAAAAATAATATAAGGTGGATAAGCAGAGTTTGCTGTGAAGGTTAAAAGAAGTGAGGTAAGAGAAGAAATTATATAAAGAAGAATAGAACTGCTTAGAAAATCCTGTTACTAAATGAGAGTTTCACACCATAATGAACCAGCCTCTGCCAAGTGCTTCAAACTGGGGGAGAAGAAAAATAGGTCTTATAGCCACAGCAGCTTTGAGGCAACAGAAGACACATAAAGACTAGCAGGATCATCCATAAGATAAAAATTTTGCTTAAGTACATTTAATTAAAAGAGCCCTCCCAAAACTCAATAATAGGCAAATAGGAAGATAATGATGTTTCCCTTCTTGTCGTGGCTGTTTATTTGAAGCATCCATCCCCCAACATAAAATCTCTTCTCTCAGGATTAGACTGTTACAGAGGTGCTGTCGCTGTGTTGGTCTCATTGAACTGAATGGAGCTATCTCAGGAGAATGAGATGATTCCCATGGGTCGGCATCACAAAAAAATCATACTCCAATTTAATAATAGTGAATAAGCATATGAAAGGTATTTACACTAATTCTGGCATACACAGAGCAATACTTGCAAATGTTGAGCCAAACAGGGTTGATTTGTGAATGGCGACAGCAGGGCTCTGAAAAAGGACCAAGAGAAAGTCCTAAGGATTTGTTACCTTGTTCAAGTGCTGATTAAGCCACAGAGTGGAAAAAACAAACCAGCTGACTAGCAACTACCTTAAGGCTAAAACATGGACCTGCAAGTATCTTCCTTCTTTTTTATGAATTATTAGTATTAGCAACCTTCATGCTTGAAAATGTGTCTCCTGGCTCCCTAAAGTCAAGGCAGTGGTCAAAGAGTAGAGATCCCAACATTCTTGCCAAGAAATAATTTCAGATAATTGTTATTTGCAGAGCAAAGGCAGGGCCAAGGAAATAGCTCTTTAAAGATGGCTTGACTATACAGCACTGTTTCCATCTGGATCTTCAGCTGACCCTGAATGCTAAACCATAATGTAGGGCCCAGGTGTGAGTAATATTTGAGGGTGAGCACCACAGTGGTGGTTGTGTTGGGTTCTGCTGGAGACACTGCATGAGGATGTTGCAGAGTGCGAGGCTTGTGTTCCTCCGCATTGTTTCATCTCAGAGTGTCTCCCTCTGTGTTCTCTCTTATTTCTCTTGGATTTTATTAAAATTGAAAACCTGCTTTAGATTTGCATTAGAGAAATAGGTTTGGAGCAGATAATAATTGAATCAGAATTTAATCCAATATTCAAATGAGAAGATGACCAAAATTATTTGTGATGTTTAAAAAAGAGAGAGGAGAGACACGATAATGAGAGACATGATAATGCC